ATTGGAGTTCATTTATTATGATTTGAATATTTATGGAATATGAATAGAGTTTATTAATTATGATTAATACTTTATATTAGGAAACAATTAATTGATTAAAAATTGAATGGTTGAKATGARRGTTGTATAGGGTGTAGGAATGACAAATGGTGTAGAATAACTTCCCTCTATATATATATGTATATATATATATATATATATATATATATAAGTGTACAATAGATACTTAAACTAAATTGTTATTATAAATAAAAATCAGGGAAAAAGAGTAAATAAAGAATGAAAAACCAGTGAGGGAGGGCAAAGTTGTCATTTTAGTCACTTCTTCAGTTCCTTGTGTTGTGTCGTGGGTATCATTGGATTTCCTCTATCTCATTATCATCTTCTTTCTTCCTGCTCTCACACCCAGAGACAAAAATGGCGCTAAGCCTATCCAATTCCTTCCTCCATAGAAACTCTCCTCCTCCAGCGCTATCCATGAAAAAGGTCTGCACTCCACGATACACCCTTGTTTCTCCCTTTTTCAAGCTGACGCCTTCACTTTTCTCTCTTATCAGGTGGCTACAGCCGTTTCCACAGATCAACCGCGATGGACTTGCCGGAAGAAGGACATTCATCCCGAATTCTACACCGATGCCAAGGTTTACTGCAGCGGAGAGCACGTTCTTACCACCAGCGGTACTAAGAAAGAGTACGTCGTCGATGTTTGGTCCGGCAACCACCCATTCTATCTAGGTAGTCGGTCCGCCAACCTCATCGATGCCGATCAGGTGGAGAAGTTCCGTAAGAAGTTCGGTGGAGTCGGTGGTTTGTCGCAGTTGATGGAGATTCCGACGCTGAAGGGTGAGATTATCATTCCACCTAAACGGAAGGGCGGCGCCGGTAAAGGCAAGAAGAAATAAGTAGTTGAATGTGTTTGATTCACACTCTTGGGGGTTTAATTCTATGTAGTGGTCTTCAATTTGATACATTACTCTTCGATTATACATCCTGTCTGATTTGTGAATTCATAATTCAGCTGTCATTTGCCTTTCCCCTTGTGAGAAAATTCAACAATTTTACATTCCATTGAAACCCTAATCCCTAAAATTCTTCATAACCGGTGTACAAACTAGCACATTCATATCAACCTAAACTTACAACTTGGGGTTGTGGAGATTCAAATGATATCATTGGGCGAAAGGCCACTTGTTAGTAGTTACATTTGTTAAAATTGCAGGTTATAATGGTTAGTTGCTCATTGTGGTCTTGGTTGCTGGGCTACTGGTTCTTTTATGTCATTCAGCCAATTCTTGGATCAGAACCCTGGTTTTTTTTTTTTGGCTTTTAAGCATGGTCTCATATGAATCTATCAGTTTTTATTAGCCTGTTATCAAATTTGAGTAATGAAATCCTTTTCTTCAAAGTGCAAATCAATCTGTTTAGAAATTGATCTAGAAATCCTTTTCTTCATAATTGTTGTTTCTGATGGTATTCATGTGTTTATCTGGTGTTTTATGATTGTATAAATGGCTATAAGTAGTCTTGCAATGAGAAAGAAAAAGTATTGCAATGTTGATGGCTGGGTGCACCACTGTCACGAGTCAAGAAGCCCTGCTCGTGACCAAAAGTGGCTTGTTCTTTAGCTGGAATCTTGCTGAGTTGATGTGCCTTGAGGTAAGCTGTATTTGCAAGGGATCCGTATTTCATATATCACTGACTATCTCTTCTTTCTGTCTGAATTGTTACTTATTGCTTCTATGTGCTTAATGGTATAAAAGCTTCGTATGCCAAGTACTTCAACATGAGTCATAGCACATTACTTCCTCCCCCTAGATCTTGAATATTGGATATGATGGAAGTAGGGTTGTTTTAAGAAGAAGAAAATGGCATCGTGATCTGCATTGGATCTTGATATCATGAGCTGTATAAAATGCTTAATCATTGTTAGATTTTGTACTTGTCTTTGTTGCCTCATTCGACCCCTGTGAAATCCCCGTATGGTGATGCTCTAGGGGTGCAATTCTTCAGGGGTGTGGTGGGATGCATCTTTGGCTGTATTGCTATGACCATGAATACAGGGACACAGAGCGAAGCTATTTTCGTCTTCTTCAAAAACTTGGGGAGATGAAAATTCACAAACTGTGAAGTTAGAACTCAGGATAAAACTAAAAGTAGAACTTGATAGAGATAAGATTGTTTTATGTATACATATACACTATGTATGAATCTGTGTTATATATATATATATATATCATATATTTAGTATCTTAGTTATATTGTATATGACCTTTTTGGTGAAATTAGAGTTCAGCTATTGGAAGGAAGCATGACACATGACATGAACTATTAACTATGAAGGTCCCCCTATTCGACGTGGTCTAGGTCAACGCCACACAAATCTAGAACCGGCAAACCCCTCGCTATGAGAGGTTGGCATGACCACAAGGGTTTTTACACCCAACAGGAATCAAACTTGCGAGTAAGTGGAATTACCCTTCTTATTGACCTATGGTTTGCCACCAAGTGACTTGAGATCAAAAGATGCATTTTTGTTCCGGTCAATCATCTTCCATCTCCGTAAAAAACAGGACAAAAAGTTTTTGTTGTGTCATGTCCCACGTACCAACGCATCCTTAACATGCCTTGCTTGCCCATGTATATTTTTCACCCATATAGATGTTACACTGCAACATACACACAAAGTGATAAAACGATTAACTAAAAGTGATGAATTCTGGAACATATTACCGACCCGGTTATAGAAGGACCGGTTACGAAAAGGACAAGGCCCGATTGGGACCGGTTTTTGGCCATCACTATTACCGGGTAAAGAAGGCAGATTGGTTTTCCCATATCAGCCCAATATAACACACAGGGATTTGGGATGAGGTTTGCATGATGAAAAAGGTTTATATTACATTGTATTTTAATTATTTTAATTTTATTTTCAAGAATCAATGAATAAAATTTGTGGGATCACTTTGAAGTTTATGTTTGGTACATGATTGAAGATGAATTTTGGTTTATAAGTCTATGAAATAAGGACGGAGAAAACTGATATGATAGAGTCGTGGACCTGTATTGTCCATGACTGTCGATCAACTTTTTGGGTCTAGCTCGACACAAGCCCTCCTAACCACTGCTTCAATCACCTTTTTGGGGTTGAATGAAACTGAAAGCCCTACTCATGTCTTCAATTTTAGGTCTTTAATCGTTCCTCTAATCCCTTTTTGGATAATATCTAGAAATGGAACCCTAGGCTAGTCGTGTCATCAATTTTACGTCTTTAACCAGTCATCTTATCTAGCCCCTCTTTCTTGAAACAGAATGCCATTGATTTTATCTGAAATATTTCTTTCAGTCTCTCTTATTTTACAGGTTATTATATGCCACTGATTTCATTTTCATAACCGTCCTTTTTTTCCAATAATTTTTTGAAAAACAAATTGAATTCAACACAGTTCACTTCACTTCACTATAACCACCATCTTTACACAAAATAGGAATATGTAATTAAAACATGAAACCCACCTATGCTCTCAATTCCAATCTTGCCCATTCATAATACCATTAATTAAATCAAAAGATAACCAGATACGTGTCAGAATCATAAATGACGATTATAGCCTTTTTAGCCCATTTCTATTACTTTTTGATCACAAGCTATACTAATTAATCATGCCTTCTTTTATCTACTTTTTTTTTTAATTTTAAAAACTTAGAAGTTGAGGGTAAGCATTTAATTAATATATTTTAACAAAATAATTGATTCACTTTTAGACTTTGTATGCCGCCATTTCTTCTTCATATGATTATTTCAACTACAACATCACCATCCATAATATCTAAACACAAACACAAAATCTCACCTCATCATCAAAATACTATAATTTATATTATCGGATAAGATTGTAGTACATTAAAATATGTATCCTATGCAACAATTTACCTGGTAAGTACTTACCAGAGTAAGAGTCGTCACCTTCACTTACTGGGTAAGACCCTCCATCCTTATCCATCACTCTTACCGGGTAAGCTTCTTGGCTCTTGCCATGTTCATCCAGTAAGGAAAATTGTCCAGTAAATACTTACCGAGTAAACGTTTAGTAAACGACTCCTAAATAAATAAAGTAAGTTAAGTTTCAATGCAAGAAAATGGATATGGTATGAAGCTTGTTACAAAAGTTAATAAAATCTTTTAAATTTATAGAACAATAATTTCACGTCTTTGTTAATATAAAGTCGAGAGTTAGACAACCTTATAAATTCTGTTCTTAAGAAACAATAAGGGTGCGTTTGATTTGCGGGCATGTAATGAAATTGGAGAGGTTTGGATTTGAAATCCATTCCAATCCAGTGTTTGGTTTGTAAGATTGTCGGTATTTGAAATCCAAGGATTCTTTTGAAATCCCATGACCGATAGATTTGGAAATCCTTTGGAAGGGGTTGGTATTTCATATCCAAATCCTGTGAGATTTCAAAAAATTGCTTCCTGACCTAACTTTAACCGTACTGCTTCCTTCCCTCTGGCTTTCAACAAAAAACGAGATCCCTACTTTCTGATGCTCTCCTCGTTGGTTGTAATTAAAAGTTTAGAATCGATAAAACGCCATTAATTTGGTGGTTCCCGATTTCGACGGCCTGGTTTTCACCAAATCTACAGATGTGAAAACTAGGAAAACGCCGTGATGGCGTTGGCGGTGAACACAACAAAAGCCATCGTGTACGCCAGATCTTCAGACGGGTTAGTGAATTTCTGGGAACGACCAAAACATACGTTGGCTCACTGCGGAGTTGTCAGAGGTTACAAACAAGCATTTTTGCATATCGTCGCCGTAGGGAGCTTGTTGTTTAGTGGATCGTCGGACAAGAACACATGTGTGTGGCAGAGGGAAGTCGGCGGCTTCCATTCAATGCCTTTCAGCTAGAGGTGATCATTTGTGGGCCTGGGCCAGGCTTGGACTGGTCCTAACTTTTTCTTTTTTGTCCAACAGGCCTAATATTGTAAACTTAAACTTTTTTTTTCGGGCTTGACAACTTGCCATTGCCCGCCCTATAAAACTGATTGGGCTTGTTCACGGACTAACATGCCTAAAAAGTGTAATTTTTAATTAATAAATGTGGAACAAAAAAGTAAAGGAAAAACACCTAGGCAATTAAAACTTTAAGGAACTACCGACTCTATCCATTATTGATCGATTATGACTTTTGACATAAGAATGCTAACAAATATAATATTGAGCCTTTTGGGTTCTCAAGAGAAAACACAGAGTCCCAACTCTCATACTATAACTTTAATAAGTCAATTTTAAAATATACTAATTATAATTTTAATAAATGGTAAAAAAATATTAATTATAAAATATAAACGGGCCGAGAGGGCCTGTCCATATTTATTTTTACATTGTTCTTGTCCGCCCGTTAATTTTAACGAACAAACCTAGGCTCGTCCTTTTTTTAAATAATGGTTGTCCAAGCCCGTATTTTTAATGGGTCGTCCACCATGAACAGCTCTACTCTCGGCGTTAACCGAGCACACCGCTCCATTCAAATGTTTGGCAGTGACGATGAGAATAGTGTTCGAGAATGGGTGGTGTATAACGGTAGTTTAGATAAGTCGGTGAAACTGTGGCGAGTGGCAGAATAGCCATGGAAGTAGTACCTGCCATCGTAATTAAATCCCAATCCAAATCCTACAAACCAAACACATAAAGGGATTTCAACACCATTCCAATCCGATCCCTACAATCCAAATCCCTCTATGAAATCCAAATCTTTCAACAATAATCCTGCAAACCAAACGCACCATAAGTATTACCACCAAGTTGGACAACCTAACAAGTTTTGTCCTCATTTTTAGGTCACTTAACTTTATCCCAACAACTTAATGTCACACGTTCATATAAAACGTTAATTATCTTACAAACTTAAAGTCAAATTAACGTGTACATGCTATAAAAACGCTCGAATCAAACACAAACGAATATAACATAACTTCAAAACATATAATTTTTTAAACAAAATCAAATTAATTAAAATTACAAACAGTCAACATTATGAAATAAATAAACCAATCTTGAAAACATGATTAAAGTCAAAAGTTTGTA